ATTTCATTGAGACTTGTTACATAGATATTCTAGGACTGCAGAGACCTGATTAATTTTGGGATAAATAATTGTGCCTATTAATTACCTAATTTGCATAATTAGTTAATTTTTTGCTGTTCTATGGCTGTTGCACTGATGTCTAAAAGCCACTCATTGGATTTCAATGAAACTTTTAAAGAGTACCCATCACATTTCAATGAACCTAGGACTATACACCATATTAGTTTTTGGTAAATATTTATGCTTCTTAATCACCTAATTAATATAATTAATTAATACTGATATCTCAAGTATTGATCATCACATTTGAATAAAACTTGGTACATAAGTGCTCTAGGACAATAGACAGCCTGATTAATTTTGGGTTAAAATCTGTTCATATTAATTCTCTAATTAGCATAATAATTAATATTATTTTGGTTCTAATCACATTTCAATGAAACTTTACATTGTGCAGACCTTATTAGTTTTACACTTAAATCTGTTCATATTAGTTACCTAATTTGCATAATTAGTTTTCTGCGTTTCCATCAACATCTCAAGTTCAAGTAATTTTGAATTAATTTTGAATGTGTCTCCAATACTCTGAGCACACGGGAGTTCTTTCTAAGCTTTCTTTGATTTTAATTTTGTTTTTGCCAAACTTGTATAATATTTTAAGTTTAAACTGAGTTTGCATTGAAATACCAGTCTAATTTTTTAACAGTGCACAACTAATGTTGTATATGTCACATGCAACAGATATCTAGCATGATGCAGTACTGTGTCTTTAAGTTTGAATATTAATGACTTCACATAACTGTGCATAACAAGAAAGTTTACTTCATTTCTAAGAATTATATATTTTGTATTAATGTGTGATACTTCAAAATTTTATTGATTGACAATTTGCGGATATGAATCATATTTCATTTTTGAGTAAATGATTTGGGTAATCAGTGATAATTCCAACCTAATCTGTTTTCATTTCTCTGGATAGGATATCAACAACAATGGTCCATTGTTTGAGAATGCCACCTACACTATTAGCATACCAGAAGACACTGAGTTAAGGAGTCCTATATTAAGAGTGACAGCTACAGATATGGACACAATAACATCATATTTTATATATTGGATTAGTAATGGTAACAATGATGGTATATTTGATATAAATGAAGATGGAGATATCATAGTGATTGGTGATATTGATAGAGATCCACCATATAATTATACATTCTTCAATCTAACTGTAAGTTTTTTTGTTAAACATGGAAAGAGTTTTCACCTTAAAATTGTAAATTGACTTTCTTGCGTTATTACTGCATAATGACCAGGCTGCATGCGTTATTAATGAGTCTTGCATTAATTAATGTACTTTGCATGCCTAATGAGTTTTGTAGCATGCATAATTAATGAGCTTTGTGTGCATTATTAAATAATCTGTGATAATGTGTTATGTACCTTTTTATTCAGTTGGATTAAATCCAATTTTTCTCTTAGAATGTTGTTTCTGATAGTGTTATCTGATTACCCAGTATAACCATGACGATTTTCTGTTTTCAGGTGACTGTGTCTGATGGCGATAGCAACACCAATAATGATACAACCAATGTTCAGATAACAATCTCTGATGTCAATGATAACAGTCCAGTGTTTGAGAAAGGTAAACAACTAATACTTGTACTTGTTTTTTTTACAATTATTCATAGTAGAATGTAGCAATATTTTAAATTTATGTTCAATATATGAATTTTGTTTTGATTAACTGTGTAGTAAAATTATATATTTGTTGTTATTTTTGTTTAGTTTGGGTTGGGTATTGTTTAAAAGTAGGGCTACATTCTGTTATACAGTTAACATGTCCATTATAAGTTTGAAAATACATGTACTTGTACATATTGGCTTTAGTTTGTTTAGTCTTATTCAATATGGCTGACTGGTAGCCATTTGTTGTCCTGGGAACACATTTTCAATATGTCGGCATTTTTTTAGATATATGCAATTTTAGTTACTGTTAGTAGCTTTTTTAATCCACATATAGTACACATGTACTGCACATGAGTGGAGAAAATTCTCGGAGCTGTTATTTACAAAATATTATAATTTTCAGTGGAATATATCTTCATGGTGAATGAAAACTCTACAGTTGGCACAATTGTTGGCAGCGTGCATGCAACAGACATTGATGATGGGTCTAATGGTGAAATATTAAGCTATGACATCATAAACGGTGATGACACATTCAGTATGAATAACCAGACTGGAAATTTAATGCTAACTTCAGTTTTGGATCCAAGTTTAAATTCCAAGTTCACACTAACTGTCAGTGCGATGGATGGTGGTTCAATTCCAAAAACTGGGTGAGTACAACAGTTAATTATTTTAGTTTTCTTAACTTATTTGTAAAAAGTCTCAGCTTGATCTTCTTTGCTTGCTCTACTGGGCAAAAAAACTACTGAAAACACATCAAATACTTTGCAGGCATTCAAATTCAATGGTTATTTGTTTTAAAAGTACCACATAATTATTTATTTTGACATGTGACTTTTGATGTGGCTCTCATACAGATTATACAGTGGCCATCAAATATTTCCTACAAATAATGCTTATTGAATATGCCACATATTAGTCTAACAACTTAAATAAGCCTATGTCAACTCAGGGTGCTGTAATTGACAATGGCGACAAGTGTTAATTGAGACGTATTTCTCTTTTACAGCTCGACTGTTATAATTGTAACCATCACTGATGTTAACAATAATATTCCGGTCTTTCTTTCATCAAATTACAGTTTTACTGTATACGAGGTAAGCTTGACTTCACACAATAAAATAATTTATGCGGTCATTTTTGCTCCATACTCAATATTTGATTTTTATTTCAACTCAATGTGAGATTTAGAAAAGTTTTCAAACTTTCTGTATTGCATCATGTAAAAGACATTTGCATCTTACATGCACCAGATGCACGTACCAGATGTGTTGACCTCAGAAGTCACACGATCTCCACTAAATAGATATTGACAATTAAAAAGCAGTTAATTAGAGCTCAAATCTCATTAAGCACAGGAGTAACATGACTAATTGTTTAAAAAGCAGTTTAATTGTACCATTGTTTAATTTGTAGTTCTATATATTTAATGAATAAAATTGTAACTTTGATTGATGTTTGTAGAATTCACGTTCAGACACGTCTGTTGGGAAAGTGTCAGCCATGGACAGTGATGATGATGTCTTGTCATATTTCATTCTCGATACTGGTGAGTGATTTTCTATAATTTAAATGAAAAAATCTAACAAGATTTCACCTACCATAAAGTGCTCAAACTCTATGTCACACATTCTGTAATATGTTGATAGGATACTGGAATGTATCTGAAAATTGTACTTTTCACCATCCATGATCTTGGTAAATGCCTTCTAGTAGTTCACAAGGAGTATCATTACATTGAGTGGTGAGAGCCAATCCATCCAGCAGTATACATGTGGCTTGTGTGTACCTGATGTTCAATTTTCTTTTTCAGTTCCATTTTCAATTGATGAAGACACAGGTGTCATTAAAGTTATCAGTAGTTTAGACAGAGAGAATGTAGATTCTTATAATGTGGTTGTCATGGTTACGGATGGAGTTTATTCTGCATCAGCTAATGCAACCATAGCAATCTTAGATGAGAATGATAATTCACCAATATTTATGAAATCTACATATTATGGAAATGTGACAGAAGATGTGGATATTGGAATGGAAATATTGCAGGTGAGAACCATCACTAAACAAAAATAAATAAAACTATGTTTTGGTAAGTCTAATCAGATATTACACAGTATGATCACATAATTTGCAAACTTTTCTCAAAGGTTGAAGCAAGTGACGTAGATCTGGGAGGTAATGCTGATGTGGATTACAGTATCTTAGCAGCCAGTGGTAATGGTGATTCCATCTTTGGTATCCATGGGAACAATGGTAGTATCTTCATCTTGAATAACACTGGTTTAGATTTTGAGTTGATGAATATTTACGTTATTTCAGTTCAGGCAACTGATCATCCTGTTGATTCTGAATCTAGGTATTTATTATTCTATTTGTATCTAATTATAAATAACAAACTGCCTCATTGATTTTGAAGTGTGCCTAATTCAGCATAGGGCAGCAGCAGAAATATTCACTAAGGTTTAATTTGAACCAATTTTGTGTTACAGGGATATTCACTTGGTTTAAATACATTGATTTGTGGATTTGTGGTTAAATTTGGAAATCAAACAAATGAATTAGGCTAAATATATTATCAGAGCATCTGTTATATTCTGTTAATTGAAAAAAATATCATAAAAGAAAAAATTAAAATTTTAGAGTGTTTTTATTGCATATGCAATACAACTAGTATATAGGCAATGTCTAAATTTGAATTGATAACTTTCAAAATGAATTTCAACAAATTTAATCCAGAGTTTGTTTCAACTTTTCAGATCATCAGTTGCTACAGTGTATATCAGTATTGAAGACATGAATGATGAGATGCCCTTATTTGGTCAATCAGAATATGTAGCATATATCAATGAAGAAGTCACCATAGCAACATCTGTTATTCAAATACAGGTAAATCAACTACAAACAAACACGGCTGCCTCTATTGAGGGGCTGACTATAATTATAGCGGTCACAGTTAAAAAGTCTAGACAAAAATTACATTTAAAAGACACTGTATTTTGCAGAACAGAATTTACAACCGATGTACCTCAAGTTATACTGATTCACTGTATAATCAATATTCATAAACACATTAACAATTTTGTATATAAATCCTCCATTCATAAAGGCTTGAAAGTCTCCTGGGTGGCAGCAAAACATGAGTTTGACTGTGATAAACTAAACAAATGAAACATATCAACACTGCTTACTGTTAAATTATTTGACAGAGCATTTATGTAGTTAATGGAAAATACACTTTCTATAGAGTAACTGTGGTATATATATATATGCTGTCATATAATCCTATTTTGGATAAGTATACATTTTATATACCAACATTTTTTTTCATTTTTCAAAAACTGTAATCACCCTTAAAATTCTTTTTATTAAATCCAACAACAATTATTTTTCAGGCAACTGACGAAGATACCGTTGGTGTCTTGGCATATTCTGTTCATGATGATTCATCTACTTTCACGATTCATAACGAGAGGTAAGACTTCATTCTACTGAGAATGAGTTCTTTACAAAATAGTTTGGTGGCCGGATTTTCAGTGGTGTAATTTTATTTAATCTCGTATAAATAAAATTATCTTTCTTGTATTTCTAATCAAGTTATTATAATTGTGGTGTGATTTGATAAACAACTATTAAAAAAGATAAATAATATTTTTTTTTTCTTTCCTAAAAGTGCAATTGTGAGTACTACGGAGTTGTTAGACAGGGAATCACATGATAAATACGTGGTAACGATCTCTGTTACTGATGGCAAGTTTGTAAGTATGAACGTCAATTACATGAAAAAGAATTGTATTTTTGACTTGTACTGCTTTGGGTGTGGTATGTCATTATAAAAACTGCCCTAAACCCTTGAAGAAATGTTACTGGTAGTTTACTGTAAAATACTTTATTTTCTGCTTGCTATTTTTGATGAAGGGAAGTATAGTTCAGTGAAAATAAAATGCAGCAAATATATCTTTTTCTATATTCTCATCAAAATTCAATAAAATTCAAAACAAAAATCCTTTTCAGGAAATATTAATTCAAGCTGATATTAAGTAATTTACAGCATGTTAAGTGCCAAAAAAAGTCATTTTTCTTGCAACTATCTGTGTGTTGAGAAAACCTGCTGCAAACACCCCTTCATATTGATTGTAATTTAAAAGTAAAGTTACTGTAATGCTTTCCATGTCATACCTGAAGAAACCTTTCTGAATTTCATATAAGGTATGCCCTTACCTGTGTCAAAAAAACCTGTAAGAAAACTTATTTTTGATTGATATTTCAATGTCCTCTTTGTCAAAACTGAAAAAAAACTGTAACTTTATTTTGACATTTTGAAATAATGTACACCCTCTGTTTCCAAAACTGTACATACTTTTCTGAAACTAATTTCATTGGCATATCTATGTAAAAGACATCCTCTATTTCAAAACTTACAACTGGGACAGACGTATCAATTTCAGAAGACGTTTACTCCAATATATGCTTGTTTCTTTTACAGAGTAACAATGTCAATTTAACTGTCTACATAGAGGATACAAATGATAATTCACCACAGTTTGATATCAGTTTGTATATATTTAATATCAGTGAAGGAATCAATGGAACAAATGTTGGAACAGTACATGTAAGTAAAATTCTATACAGATCTTAATTTATAAAAAGAAAAACTCACTCATTTAAAATGTACTTATCCAGGTAGTATGACAATCAATCATGATCAAAATAATCAATTCAGTGATTTCATATCTCTTGTATACATATAAGTGCACGTTAACAAAAAGTTGCTTTTATTTTATGCTTGATTTTTTTAAATACAACTTTTTTTTACCTTTGTCAAATCTCTCACTTTTCTCAAATACAAGTGCCGTTACTAGAACACATAGAGTAACTTTCAAACCTGTCACTCAAACGAAGTCTTAATTTGGGTTCCGTCTGTGCATCCATGTGTCCGTCCGGAGCCATTTCTCGGACACCCTTTGACCGATCTTGTTAAATTAGTTTTTGAAATGTTTTGAATTATTGTATTTTATGGAATCTATTTTAATTCAATAGATCTTTATATAATACCTCATTGTTATAATTTATTTCCTTTTTCCTTATTTTCAGGCATCAGATATTGATCTTGGCATAAATGCTGATATCTCGTATTCTTTTTTGACATCTACTAGGTAAGGGGTCTTTTAACATATTTTGTGTGAATATTATGTTAATTATATATAATTTACTGCTTTGTAAATCCTTTCAACATAGATCAATTTACATTGTGTGCTATATATGGATGGGTGGTCTTTTACAGATCTTGTTACTATGCAAGAGTTTTTCAAGATGGATGTCTGTGATAGTTTGAAATCTTCACTTGTATCAGTAGAGAGTTGTGTAATAAACATAGTCAAATCACCATTTGATAGAGAGATGGCCACACAGCCCTGTCATGTAGTCCCAAACACGAATATGATTTCTGTGGCAAAATGCACTATGTGTCAGCACTAGCACTTGCAATTTGCACTTACAAAAAAAAGTCAGGAGAGACACTCAATGTCCAGAACTGTCACCTGGCACAAAAAAATATTTAAAAAAACAAACAAACAAAAAACACATAATCAGGGTGTCTGTGTCCTCAAGTAGAAAGAACATTTTGCTTTTGAATGGTCATTGTGTTCTAGAAAATCGTTGTTTGTGCACTGGCAGTAATATGTTTTTTTCAACTCTGTTGTGTGTCTTGGATAAAGTATTTAATTAAAAGTTGATTGAAATGTTACCTGTCATCCCAAATTTTGTAAAGACCTTTTGATATAAATTCAAGATTTATCAAATCAAATTAAATCAATTAATTCAATCAATCAGTG